GGCTCAGGCTTTGTCGTCTTTGTCATCGAAACTTCCTCCCAGTATCACAGTGGGAAGCTGCCGATTGCACCCAAATGACTCCTGCTGGCCTAAACCCCCAAACTGAGCACTGACATGAGACTTCCCGGGTGCAGGATTCCATCTGGGACAACAACAACAAGCGCGAAATAAAATCCTGCAAACAGCCAGGGACCCGAAAATGAAATCCTGGATGAAGAATTGATCAACATCAAAATTTGAGGCTTGAGACCCTAGATTTCATGTTACCTCATCCGAACCCTATAGTACTCCTATAATGAACTGTCGGGCCCAAGCCTGGGCGTGGCCATGGTAACCTCGCGAACCACAGGACGACCTAGCACCTGAAGGGGCATGCCACAACCCAGGCACTGCAATTTTCTGGGTTGCTCTTAAGGAACTTAACTTCAGTTACTATATTGGGGAAATGATATTAATTACTATACATACCCATTATGGTAACTGAATTGAAGTTCCTCATCAGCAACCCAGCTTTCCTTTACTTTAGCGCTGGCAACCACGATGGCCAATACCACTACTCAGCTTCTGACTATCACAAATTCCTATGCCATTATCAGCTGACTAGTTTACACACCTTTGAGGCACCCCAAACCCTAAAACCTAAACCCGTATAATATCCCTTATAATCCCAATTAGAGTTTCCATCTTATTTTCCACTATCCCTCTATAACCCCAAGATACTATAGTAGTTTCCATTTTCTTTTCCGTTATCCCAATATAACCCCTATATACTACAGTAGTTTCCATTTTCTTTTCCATTATCCCCAAAACCCTAAACCCTAAACCCTAACCCTAAACCCTGAACCCTAAACCCTAAACCCTAAACCGCTCTCTGCGCCCTGGCCAAGCATCCGAGCCCACCACCACACGCGGCTCAAGCGAAGGCGAGGAACGGGAGGAGGCCAGGGCCCTGCCATGCCAAAGAGCTGTGAGGCATCTAACAACTTACTAGGGGTTCGTAGGGGATAAGGGTTTAGGGTTTAGGGTTTAGGGGGGATTCTATAGGGGTTATACTATAGGGGTTCGTAGGGGATAAGGGTTTAGGGTTTAGGGGGATTCTATAGGGGTTATATTCCCTTATCTCCTCCTCAGCCGACTCAGCCCCTACTACTAAGCACCAGTACCGCAAAGCTACATCAAAACTCCCTGTTTGGTCAGTGAAACGCAGCAAGAGTCACGGTTGCCAAGGTTGTGATGCCGCAGAACAGAAACGGTAAGAATAACAATAATGTTTTAAGATCAGTGGTACTAAGAATACTATTAACAATAATAACGATAAGAATTAAAGTAGTAGTCATATGCCAAGAGCATGCCAGAGCGGCCATGCACTTGGTGTGAGGTCTCTGGCTCCGCTTTTGTCCAGAAGAAGCCCGGAGTCCTGCAGATATTCGCCACTTCCGCGCCACAAGCTGCGCGCTTGAAGAATCTGACATGCTGTTCTCCCACGGATACTTCTCGGACGATCTTTGCTTCTAAATTCTTTCGAGCTACACCAACCGAAACCTGACACGAACTCTTTGCTGCAAACTGAAGCTGCGAGCCTTTTGGGCGGGAACCACCGTCTTTGTCCGTGGCTGGGGTCGCACGGTTGATCCTGCAAATATTGTTACTCTATGTCAGGGTGAGGCACCACATAGATGTGACATGGGTCTCCCTATTGCACCGCTAGGACTTGAAATCTCTTCTTCATAGGCTCCAGCATGCTCCAGCTGAGAAACAAAAGACATGCACATGCTGCTTCGTGTGCAGACAGCCCACATCTCCTGAGACGCCTGTGCTTTGAAAGGCGATGCGCGATGTACGCACGGAGCTATATGGCCTCTGCAAAGCTCAGCCCAGCTCTTGCAACACTCTCAGCTTGGCCCTTGCAAGGGGAAGCTTGAGGCGAGGCTGCGGCACACAACTGCCATTGCTGTGGAGAACTGATCCGTACGTCCTGGCAGCATCAGGCGGTCAAGCTTGCACAAGTTCTGTTTCTCGAGGCAAGATCGATGGATTGGAGAACTGTATCAGCTAATGGGTATGGCTTCGACCTCTGTCCCCGGCCTGGTGAAGCTTACAACGGGTTTCCCTGTTTGCTACTCAGGCATCAGCAGAATGGATGATATGTCTCTCACACATTGCAAGCACCGCCTGAGACTTACAAGAAGGCTCATGAATGCTTGGTTTTGTCAGTGTCTCTCGAGCCCTTCGGGCTTCCACTAGCACATGCTCCTAGGGCTTTTGGTTCGAAGGTTTTGACTTCATGTAAATGATGATGGCAATGGTCATATCAGTGGCGATACTGACACAATGAGGTATGTTGATACAAACATGAAGATGAGAAAAAAGCCAAAATGCAGAAGACAACAGATACAACAGCCCACATCATGGCAGAAATAGCTGGGTGTAGCCTGGGCTGCAGCTGCGTCGCAGAGGAAGCAAGCCGACTGGCGATCGGCGTGATCTGAGGCAAGTTTTATTCGGAGCCAAAGCTGCAGTGCAATGCGGGCAGTTGCATTGTTGAGGGGTCCTACAGGAAGACTCCACATGGAAACACAACTGTGATGGTAATGATAGTAATGATAGTAATAGTAGTAATAATAATACCAATAATAGTAATAATAAAACCAATAATAATAATAGTAATAACAATAATAGAAATAATAATAGTAATAATAGTAGTAGTAATAATAGTAGTAATAATAATAGTACTGCATCAGTGCTAGCCGAGCCTGCGCAGGCCGCAGCCTAGCACTGTAGGTCTCCGTGTGCCTTCGAGCCATTCAGCCATGCTAGTCTGGGTTGCTGTTAAGGAACTTAAATTAAGTTACCATAATGGGTATATATAGTAAATAATAGGGTTTCCCCAATATAGCAACTTAAATTAAGTTCCTTAACAGCAACCCAGTACTTTCTCTACTGCTGCGGTATCAAGCTGCTGAGGGTAAGACCTTGCTATCCGTGTTGACAACGGCGGGCTGACGCCAACCTGCCATGTGCAGTACTATTATTACTACTATCATTGCTATTATTGGTATTATTCTTACTACTATTACTATTACTATCATTACTATTATTAGTATTATAAGACCCCCCCAAACCCTAAACTGCCCTAAACCCTAAACCCTAAATAGTAGTTTCCATTTGATTTTCCATTATCCCAATATTACCCGGAAGGCTTCCGGCCTCGGGCTCCGAGATGCTGTGTAGGCTTCGGGACCTGGCAGCAAAAAAGGCGCAATGACGAGTCATATAATGGGAGGGTTTAGGGTTTAGGGTCCGCCGACCTTGGGGGGCGTGTTGGATGGTTTCAGTAACGGAAAGGGTGAAAACCGTCTTCTTTTCTCCCTTACAGCCTAG